AATTGTATCTTTATTAGGAGATCGGGGCGTCAAACTTACGGTAAAACCAACAGAAGAAGAAGTTAGAAGTTCCGTTGATTTACTTGTAGAAACGGAAGGAACTATTTTGTCAAATGAAGACTGGTTTAGAGATCCGAAGTTTAAGCCAGTAGAAGGGGTTAGTGAATAATTTTTAGGTTCATGGTTCTCTTGGTTGTCGGCTTCTAATATTTTCATAGTGTTTGAAGCAGGAAGAAAATCTAGTTCTGTAAAGATATTTTTGTTTAAGGGATATATCCCTGTACATTGAAATGCAGATTGTGCCAATTCCATTCTACAAATTTTTGAAAATGCGCTTCCAACCTTAACCACTGATTTCTTGAACAGTTATTTTTAAGCCTAGTCTTCCGTATTTGCTCATCCAGACCTCACATGCTGCATTAAATGCACTTTTAAACGGTTTCATAATAGCTCTGTCCAAAGGCTGCAGTTTGTGTGTCGTGTGAGGGGGCAAACTTAGCATGTGAACGTGGTGTTCTTTTGCATATAAAATAACTTGCAGATCCTTATGTGTGCTATGGCCGTCCAATATTAAAAGAATTGGGTTTTCCTCAGTCGGATTAACTCGATCCACGAATGCATTTAACCATTTTAAAAATCCTTGGACGGTTATCCATCCACTTGGATGAGCGACAAAAATGCTTCCAATCGGTGCATCTTTCGTAAGTTTAACATCCATTCTTTCCCTTAGAAAAACAAATAAAGGTGGTATAAATTGGTCTCCTGCAGCATTTATACAAAGCATTACTGTTATATTTTTCCCTCTTTCACCAGATGTTAGTTTGCTGACCTGTTTTTTTCCCTTTAATGACAAAACTTTTAGTGCGTTAGAATGTACCACAGACACGCCGGTTTCATCGCAGTTAAAAATCCTACTTGGGGAAAAGGAATATTTCTTCATCAGGTTCTCCAGCTTCTCAAAAAAGGCCTCCACTTGTTGTTGTTTAAATATCCTTGCGCTCTCTGAAGGCTAGTTGATTGGGCAGAACGCAACGAAAATTCTGGATGCCGGTTTATAAACCCACGATAAAATTTATTTCCTGCTGTCTTTTTTGTTTTACTAAATTGATGCTGTAATTTGAAATGCTCAGTGAGATCATATGCTAACTTTAAAAATTCCTTTTTGTTGACTGGTAAAAAAGATTATTCAAATCCTTAAGGTGTCCCACTAGTTCATTTTCTAAGTCAACATTAAATGTATTTTCAAATCTTCCTAATGTAGGTGTCATTTTAACGGCATTTCCTTTTCGGAGAATCGTGACCCTGTCTCCTAAAGAACTTTTAGGAACAGAGAAGTGGAACGCTGCCTCCCTAATGCTATATTTCCCTGACAGTACATGGTCCACAGCCTTTTTCATGCTCGTTTCATCCCACTTTCCTTTTTGTTTATTTGGCATGATTAATATGCCTGAAACAACAAATAATAATAGTATTGACGGCTATAATCTGCCTATCACGATCAATTATATTTTGTCCGGTACTGGGCAATGTACAGGTGTCCGATACTGGGGAAATGTCAGCAAAAAATAAAATACGCATTGAACATAACCTAGAAATAATTTCGTCCGTTTGCGCATGTGGTTATAGTCTCCAATAATGTAAGTTGTTATATAAGTTATTAGTGAACTACTAAACTTACCTTTACGTATTATAAAAGGGGCCTAAAGTTTAGTGGAATCACTTGAAAACACCCACGTAAACACTTAATCACAAATATCTCCACAACGACATGAACTAAATGGAAATGGCGCGAAATGTGTAACGTACATATAGCGTTTTAACTGATTTTAGTAGGGAGTTACAGCCAATTCAAATAGAAACCAGAAAATCAAAAGTGTCCGGTACTGGGAACTGTCCGGCGCTGGGGCAATCTCCCCTACATTCAATACATATGTATGTGTTATAACATAATATAGCCATTACTATTATACTATTATTATTAAAATAATATGTGTGTAACATATTTCTTTAACGAATTAACCTGTAACAGACATTTATATGCCCAGTATATTTTTGTTTAACAAACCAATCAGGGAAAAATCCAAAACCTACCGTTATAGGAGGTATAAGATGATTAAACTTATATAATGACAACTACTTATCGGATAACAAATTAATTACTACTGTCAGCTAGTTCAGCTACTGTCTAGGTAGAATATACCTAGAGTACCTACACCTACCTATGATGTAGGTAGATTAGAAAGCTTATTTTGACGTTACCTCTCACTTCGGTGTCACAAGCTGAATTTTTCAGGGATGGAAGTACAGTACATGATATGGGGACCCTTATTCCGAAAGTAGTACAAAATTAGACCGGGTAAAAGGGCACTATCATCAAAATCGATATATTAATACCACCTCGTATAGAGAAAACAAATACTTATTTTTTGATCCAGTACACAATAAAGTCTTCGTAGGGAGTAATTTTTTATAATTATTTACGAAAAACATTTCCATTAGCGCTTATGACCAAAAAAAACTTTAAACATGAATAATCATTTCAATCATGCGAAAATTTGGTTTAAAAATAGATTTTTTTTAATATAACTTTCATTTAACGAAAAACGAAGGCCTAAATGAAAAAAAGAAACAATTTAAAAGTTTCACTTATGTCTTGACAAGGTATCAAAGCAAACCCCATATGTTTTGCTTTTCAACTAATAAAGATATATCAATAAACAATTAGCGATGTAATGGCTTTTGCGCGCGCTGGCCGACTGCCGCCGCTGCGCCGAGATTTCCTATACCCTTGTATATATGACGTCATGGTGTGGCAAATGTAGCATTTTAATTCGATTTGGGCTCCCTTATATAGGATAACAGAAACATTTTCAATGTTAAAAAAATTAAACGAAAAAATTTCTGTTATCACATGATAGAGACCCCAGAATTAATATTTGGTGACAATACTACGATACATTGTAAGAGGCAACTTTTTGTGCCAAACTTTTTAGAAGTGTTTTGTAATACCTAATCAAAAATTGTTGTCAAAACTATTTTCAGAATTGTTTGAAGAAATCAAAACAGGACCCTGTATGATTATACAGGGTCCGGCAATAGTGCGTAGGCGAAGAATTTTGTTTAAGTGTAAACCGAGGTGTAAACCCAAACTATGTAGGAGAATGTATTTCAGGAAAATATTTTAACTTCTATAGGGTCGCTCAAAAAAGTGTGAGTGGATTGGAATGTTTTTGGAAGGGACATCCTGTATATTATTGCATTTTTGGCCTCCTTTCAGATCACTTTACAGAATGCTAAGATATGAGTAAATATATTTTGGTAGTTTCAGAGATATTAATAAATAATTAAAAAAAAAATTTGCCTTTCTTATCAAAAATTAATAAAAATACAAGAACTGTCCTGAAATCAAAACTATTTTAGGCATTTACTCTAGATGGTCTGTACTTACTTTTCTATAAATATGGTAATCGTACATCATACAGGATGTACAAAATTCTACGGCAAATTTTCTAAAATATAAAATAATTTTTCTTCGTTTTTTTTTAAATGGTACACCCTGTATATTATTTTTTGAATAGATGAAGAATTAAAAAATAAACATTTTTTTGTATTTAGAGTATTTCAAAATATTTGACGGCTGCGCAGATATGCGCGGTTTTATATTTCATATGGCAATTTCCACAGTAATTTTTATCAAAGCCATCCAATGAGTTTTCTCTTGTATTTTACTGTTAAAAGAGACAAATGAAATAATACTCCGTGTATTCACGAAACCATTAAAAATTTTGAAATATTTTAAATATAAAAAAATGTAAATTTTTTAATCCTCCATCTAATAAAAAATTAATATACAGAGATTTAGAGACATTTAAAAAAAAGAAAAATTATTTTATATTTTAGAAAGTTTGGCGTAGAATTTTAAACACCCTGTATGAATTAAGATTATGAAATTCATAGTAAAGTAAGTATAGACCATCTAAAGTAAACACCTAATACAGTTTTGATTTCGAGACTGGTTCTGGTTCTCTTTTTGTTTTATTTTTTTTTTTGTTTTTTTGTAATAAGTTTTTTTTTAATAGATATTTTTAGCCGACCATACCAATAGGTATGGTCGGTATATGGCTATTAGGATCGGCAAAAAAAAAGTTTTTTAATTTCACTCAAAATGAGTTATTTGGGCCATAAATGACCTAAATACAAAATATTTTCGTGGTGTCTGTCTGTCTCTCTGTCTGCCTGCCGTCTGTAACACGATAACTCAAAAAACGCTGAACCGATTTTAACCAAATTTGACACAAAAATACTGTGGCACCCGAGAATCTGGCCATTAGTTTTTGGTGAGGGTGGGGGGTTGGTAATGGGGATAGGAGGGGGTTAAAAATTTAAAAAAATCGTAACTCCAAAATTACAGCAGCTAGCGAAACGCGGTTTTCAAATTAAGATTAGGAATAATATTTGCAACAAAATATGTAATAACATCAAAATCAGTCAAAGTCGCAGTTTTCGAGATATTAACATATTTTAGTATGGGCGGTAATGGCTATACGTGCCTCCCGGCGCCAATTTTTTTATTTATATATTAATATCATTGAAACTATTAAAATATATTTATTCATCTCTTAGGATCATGTAAAGTGATCTGAAAGGAAGCCAAAAATGCAACAATATACAGGGTGTTCTATTTAAAAAAAATCGTTCACTGACACTTTTTGTGAGCCAACCTATAGAAGTTAAAATATTTTCCTGAACTACAACCTCGTACATACTCCAGGTTTGCACTTAAACAAAATTCTCAAGTTTTTTTATTTTAGGAGCTCCAGATGCCCGACTATTGCTGGACCCTGTAGATAAATATTGTCTTAGTTTCACTAAACTCATTTTATACCAAAAAGAGGTGATCAATAAGTTGAATACCTGCATACTGAAAAAACAAAAGATATTTTATTTGATCACTCGCTAAATATTACTAAGAAATAATACCACTCTTCCCTTCTTTCTAGCTCTTCTGTAGGAAGTCCCACGAACGCAAACAACACCAATTCCAGCACTACTGCAACAACACCCCGTCGCCCAACTTCCTGGGCCACACTCCCGACTGCGACCTGGAACGCCTCTCTGAAAAATACTGGGGCGAAATCCTGGAACGCACCCTTTCATCCACTTCATTGCACGCCTTGCAGAGGGCGTGCTCACCGCCCAGGATGGA